GGACAAAGTGAATGTGGTCTCACCATAGCTAAAAAGGTAAAATAATTGTTCTAGTTACTTCAGATCATGTGATTAATTGATTGCTATCGCTTACGGTAATTATTGCTTTATATCTGTGTCCCAGCTTGAAACTCATGAAGTTGGAGATCTTACTGAGGCGTACTTACTAGAAGAACTGCACCCAAAGCGAGAACCTTTGTCGCGCGGATTTGATAGACCAAAGCCACCTGGGAGACGAACCCATCGAACTTGAGCTGTAAATATCATGTGTATCGTTATACAATATATAAATTAAATAGTCATCCTAAGTTATTTAAATACACGAAAAATTCAGCTGGCATACCACCCATGTGACCAGATACATCCTGTAATAGTAACTATATATACTTGTGTCCTGCCTTAACGTATTCACTTCAATGAACGCCTCACGAGAAGACAATTATTCGTGGGTGCTAAAAAGCATCGACAATCTTCAGCTTGAAAAACGTCCCCGACCACATCCAAAACCAAACGAAGTTGTAATCGCCATAAAAGCTACCGGTATCTGCGGTAGTGATGTTCATTATTGGGTCGATGGTCGCATTGGTGATTTCGTAGTAGAAAGAGAACTTATCCTTGGTCATGAATCTGCTGGTATTATCGACGAAATCGGCGAGAATGTCAAGAATTTAAAAGTTGGAGACGCAGTCGTCATAGAACCGTTATGTATAAGTTTTTTTAAAGTCACTGCTAATTATCATTGAATATTGCTGTTAATTGTCGTCGCGTTGGTTATTTTAGTGGTGCACCATGTTATGTCTGCAGTTACTGTCGAAAAGGGAGTTATAATTTGTGTCCAGATATGAAGTTTCCCGCTACGCCTCCGATTAATGGTGAGTTAGAGGATATATATACAGTGTTAGGGATATCGATGACAAAATGACCGGATTTTACATTATAAAAATAAGGGACACTGTGCAAGTATTACTGCTGCTCAGAAGATCTTTGCATAAAACTGCCCGAGAACTTTCCTACGGGAATAGAAGGAGGCGCATTGATCGAACCACTTTCTGTTGGGATTCATGCTTGTAATCAAGCAGGGCTGAGAGCAGGGCAATCTGGTAAGATATTACGAGCCAAATCAAACCATCAAACCCGACAGCTATAGTATCTTGATAACGTCTACGTTATCACATTTCTAGTAATAATATTTGGCGCGGGACCGGTTGGCCTTCTCGCAGCGGCCGTTGCTAAAGCTTCAGGAGCAATCAAAGTGACAGTTGTTGATATCAATCAATCCAGGTTGGATTTTGCCAAAGGCTATGTCGCTGATGATGTTATACTTGCGGAAGTAGTAACGGCTGGTGACAATGTCATCGATCATTGCAAGAGATTTGCCAAGAGTCTCGTTGAAGCTGGCAAAGAACGTTCCGATGTTGTGTTGGAATGCAGCGGTGCAGAGCCGTCCATTATCACAGGGATTTACGTATGTTACAACAACGCTGTTTGTCTTTCCGCTTTTCATTATTGCTAAGAGACTTGATTATCGCTACAGATGACGAGACCAGGTGGCACTTATGTGCA